ATAGATAGATAGATAGATAGATAGATAGATGGATAGAAATGAGACATTGCGGTGCAGTATTCCTCCTCTCTTTCTGCCCTCTGCTTTTCGTCTTCCCCACAAATGCCCGAGGTGCTCATCGCAATGTGAGATTAGCAGCAAATCCATGAAAGGTAGCAGACTGGTGGTGCTCTCTGTCAGAATGTTTTAAAAGAAGGCTGTCCTCAGGATTGTGTGTGTGTGTGAATGTGCACTTGGTCTGCTGTAGCTACAGTGCATTCTTCTGGTGTGTGCCCATGTTCTAATCCTTCGGTAGCCAGACCTTAGCCCCTGAGGCTAAGTAAGTGATGGATGGATGGATGGTTGGAAGGAAGAGAGAGGATGGAGGAAAGGTCGCAGGCCAAAGGTGAAGCAGGAGGGGGATTGTCAACAGCAGAGCTGAGAAAAGATGATTTTCAATGACACCTTAAAGAGAAACTGTAGACAGAGTTTCTACTTATTGCTTGTTTTAACATTTTAGTTTTATTTCCATCACACCAGTTTTCAACAAATGTCGCTTAGACATTTTATAAGACTATTATGACTAATCCATATCCAGTTAAGTGGAATCTATATCCAAATTCAGTTAAGAACCATAACATAATTCATTATGAAAGATTCACAGTAGGGGTCGGCATTTATTGTATTGCTTACCTTGTATCATGAGAAATTTCTTATAAGAATTTCGATTTATAAAGTCCAATTAATGATGTTTTAACCCCCTCCCCCAAATTGATTTTTAGTTTTACTATTTTCTCCACTGTTAGTTCATTGAGCCCATCCAATAAATTCGAAAATATAATTAAATGAAGCTACTGCGTGCAGTTTAGCAATAAAAATTATAGTTCTGTGTGACCAAAGCAGCATTTTTCAAGAGCATTGTTTGTGTTTGTGGGGCTACGATTGCTCTGCCCTGCAGTTCCCTAAAAAGTGGTAATAAATAGTTAGTTTTAGGGAAAAAGCTGTACAATTTATCCATTGCTAAATTCCTATGATCGAAGGTGAAGTCAAACCCACCTGCTGCCCGTGTTTAGATAGCTCTGCCTCGGTGGCAACAAGGCTAGGTGGCATGCTAAAGCATTTTGCTATTTCAGCCAAGTGTTATTTAATATAAAAGGCACTTGGCTCCAGTCTCCTTAATGTGATGCTTTTTCAGTGCAAGATAATGATGTCATGATGCTTTCCTCTGGATCCCTCATTCCTTGGGAAGACGACAATGATTAGAGCACATCTGCTCTTGCTTTAGCAGTTCAGTGAGCTAATCAGACTAATAGAGTGATTTAGGTGGGCGCCTTTCATACGACAACAGCAGAATCAATCTACCTGATCATTTTCTGCCAGGGCAAAGACATTGTGCTAATTGGGTTTGACTAACTTTTTAGAGAAAATAAGGGTTACCGGTGTGAGATATAAACGCATTTGATTGCTGCGCATGGTAATCTAAAAATTTCTCAAGCTTTCTTTAACTCTTTAAGATATGATAATGTTTAATTTCCCCCTTTTTGTGTATGATATGAGGCTATAATGGAGACTTCTCTCCATTTTCTAGCCTTTGTCAACACACCTTTATCGCAAACAAAACAAACCTAGCCAGCACTGAAACAAACCAAAAGAGTATGTTGAAGTTTAGGTTTTGCAGCGATTTTCTGTTTACTGCGTCTGCAAATCTACCACATCTTCACAGATTTTTGTAAGAGGATTAATGTACGGTTTGCTATAATGAGGGATTCTTTGGAGCTTATTATTTCTCGGCTCTTGTTCCTCTCTTTTGGCTGGGCAAAGATTGAGAGTTATTTATCAAGTAAAACAATGCTTTTGTTTTGCATGAAATCAATTTTTTTCCACTCAAAATAAAGTTGCTAAGCCTGCCATTTTGTAGCACAGTCATTAAATATACATTAAATGATTCTAAATATGATTCTGCTGCTGAGCGTCTTAAAACTAAATCATCAGTTTGCCGTTTTCTCTTTTTATCCTCTCCAGTAGACAAGCTATCATGGGCTTTTTTTCTTGCCACTGACTTTATAAAATCACCACTCTCCAGCCCGTAGCATGAAAACTGAGGTATTGTCGTCTATCTGAGGTCAGACAGTGCAGAGGCTGGTATTGTTTTGGCAAAAGGTGGAGGGAAAACAAGCTTCAGGAGAAACAAGCAGCCATAGTAAGAGCTCCCCGATGACAGGCTCTACATAATTGATTGTTTATCTGTCTGCAGCCTGAGCTGCAGCAGCCAGCGAGGTAACACACACACACACACACACACACACACACACACACACACACACGCACACACACACACACACACACACACACATCCTAGGGATTTAGGAGGCGATTAAAATGGGAGTCGTTTACACCGAGTGCAGGGGTGTAATAGGCCTAAATTCCTAAGTAACAAATTCCAGGGTTGTAGTGATGAGCCGCACACGGTGACACAAGCGGAGTTCCTTTGTGGCTCCGATGCCTACTCTCTGTCTGGTCAGACAGACAAATAGTGTCCTCTAATTTAGTTTCCGTCTCTCTCCTGAGCTTTTATTTTTGTTTCTAAATATCTGCGAGGAGCCTTTATGCCGCCCAGCAGCGAGAGGCGAGCTCCGGGCCCCTTTTAAGTGTTTTTCAATCCGTCTCACACACACACACACACACACACACATCATGGCCTCGACGGAGGAGCTCATCACAATGTCACTTTCAATTTGGCTGGAAACACGGTGCGTTCAGGGGATGTAATGGATTGGATGATGGAAGGCAAATGGATGATGTGACTAAGGTGAAAGCAACAAGCTTTTAGGATTTGGGTTTTCTCACTTTTCGGATTCCATATTTCTGTTCCCGCAGCTGTGTCTTTTTTCTTTTTGCAACATTTCTAAAGCAACGTGTGCTAGCAAGAAAGTAAAAAAAAAAAGAAAAAAAAAGGTAAAAATAAAATAAGGTGCCGCTTTGTACAAAACAGTGACTGAAGAACGACGTGGAAATCTGCTTGATGTCTGCACAAAACGCACATGAAAGCAAAGGATGACGATTATTTCTACCAATAAAATCTAGAATCACAGTCACGTCCAGCTAGCTGCTGAACTCCCAAAGTTTGTGATTTCCACAAGTCTTAACATTTTCCAAAAGATTCGATTGACCGCTTAACCACTTTAGGCATCTTCTAAAAATGGTTTCTGCACTGTAAACACACGATAAAATGAGCTGAAATGTTGCAGGCCCTGCTTAAATATGAATATTTCATTGCCAGTTTTTGTTTACTCCTCTTTAGAAAAGTTATTAATTTTTAAAGTTGGTGTCTGCTAGGTGAGTAATATAAATGTATCTATGTGAATCTATAAAAAAAAAAACACAAAGGCAAACATTGATTCTGAAAACAATAACTTGTACTGAGGAAATTAATAAAAAAGAGGACGCAACAACAGATGCATGTAATGCTCTACGGTCTGCGTTAAAACTATCAGAAAACTGCTGCTTTCTTCCAAATTCCAGCAAGTTATTTGTTGCCCACTGGAGTGTAAAAACGTGTTAAATTTGCTAAATGAAAATATTGAATTAGACTAAAATGCCTGAGGAAAATTAGCAGTTTTATAACGTTCTAAGTCGTCTTCTTCAGACATTTACTGTACCGGACAAATACAGAGCTTTTGGTAAATGGACCACATGATGCTTATTATACTCCAGAGCTTCATCAGCAAGCTGTGCAAATTTATATTTCAGCACAATTTTAATTAAAATGTACATCTGTGGTGTCCAGAATTGCATTCCCATTATCTGCACAACATATTTAACATCTTTCCATTGTTTATGCTCACTTCTCCTTGCGTCGGTGTTGGAGTCCATCTCCAGCTGTCAACGGTCAAGAGCTGTTTTGTTGTGTTTGCGTTGCACACACGTTACTTTTCAGACTGTGAAAAGTAAAGTGTGGGTTCTATGACCCCACCTGCGCAGAGCCTTTTACTCAAACGTAGTGGAAACCCAAACTGTGCATCAAGTTGAGCAGAGTAGGTACTGACGGAGAAGGGCCACAACAGCCAAAAGAATCAGGTTTCTAAAAGTTAGCTTTTACAGGCAGGACAGTTTGTTGGTCTCTCAGAGGTAGAGAGCCCTACACTGAGTAGGGTTTTTCACTAGAAAACAGCAATACGTGGGGGAAGGGCCGTTTCATGACCTTCGGGTGCATCTTATTTAAAGGACTTTAGATTGTAGGAATGGTACGATGGAAAATTCCTGCTGAAACTGTACATCTTGATAGCAGAAACCATTTTGTTCCTCCAACCTGAAGCTGTTGCTGGCATAAAAAAAAATCATGTCTAATGATGCAGCTCATGTTTTAAAGTGAACATTTCTTTGCTTTTACAAAACCTTCGGAAAACATCTCCTGTGGGCGCTTAACGCACCAATTATAAAAATGTGCATTGCCTAAACTTTCCTTATTATTTTAACCTTTGTTTAACAAGGAAGAAAAACTCAGTGAGATTACAAATCACCTCTCTGAGTTTCCTGGGTAAATAAGGGCTGCTGGATTTTACTGGATGGAAAATAAGTTTATAGGGAGTGCGCGACTTACTAATTGATGAGTAGCAAATGTTGATGTTTAGGAAGCGCAGACCGTCAGCAAGGCTCTTCACATCCCTCATAATGTGCCACATGAACACAACTAATAGCAGCAAAACATCTGAGGCCATTTCTGTGTCATATCAAGATCGGAGCCAGAGGAATTACTCACTCCGGACTCATATCTTAGACTCACAGCTGCCTAACTGTCAGGGCATTTATTCTTAATGGACTGTAAAAATAAATTACCAACTTGCCGCAGTCATTCCTCACATTTGCTGCTCTTTAATCAAGAGGTGCTTTCCGGCTGGTAAGTTGTTCGCGGCTCTCAGGACGGTCCCTCAACATTCGTCTCTTTTTTTTTTTTCTTTTTATCAGCTAACCAAGACGTAGACGTGCTCAAAAACATCTGTTGTTTCCAGAGAACTCGATGAGACTGACGGCCGCCCGTTTTGCTTGCTTTTAGAGCATGACGAATGTCTCAGCGGACTCCACAACTGCGACGAGAACGCCCTGTGCTTCAACATGGTGGGAGGCCACAGCTGCTCCTGCAAGCCGGGATACACGGGGAACGGCACCGTCTGCAAAGGTACCTCACCGCTCTGCCCGTTCACGTTCCCGACTCTTCAGCTTTGTCAAAGAAAAAGTGTTTATTTTTCTCTGGTCATGATAAATGTGTAAATGTTAAGACATTCTGAAAGGCTTATTACCTATTAACAGATTTTATTTTATTTTATTTTATTTTTTACATGATTTGTTAAAAATACAGAGAAAAACATTTGCAAACGTTTCCTGTAGGCGTCCGATCGCAAATGTGTTCACCAGTGACACTCACTGGCCTCTCCAACATGCTTTAATGGTAAAAAGAAGGTTCACCCACTTCAGGTTCTGGTATTTTAGTGATTATTTTCCTCTAGGCTGTTTTCTTTATCCAGGGCATGTTTAAGTTTAAAATAATTGTTTGATTTTACCAACATGTTTCTTCTTATTGGAAGTAACATTTAGGAGTAGCTCAACCAGACTCTTGACTTGAATTTGATAGAGAATCTGTGGAGCTAGCTGAACATTAGGGTTATGGCAAGTAAGCCTTCCAACCTCATCCGTTGATTATTGAAAAAACTGTAAATACATTTTTACCTCCTATTTTAAAAACACACAAAAATTAAGATTGATAAGTATTATTTTCAAAATAAAAGCATCTCCAAGTCCCAGCTACCTACATTCTTTGAATTTTGACATGAGATTCACTGGGTTAATGACGTACCTTGCTTGGTTTTGGTCTCATTGGACCAGCAGGTTGCCTTGTACACTTCTCGTGACGTAAACCTAAATGAACATTTAGGAACATTTTCATCCTCTGTAAGCCCTCTGCGAAACTTTTAATTTAGCTCCTCGATGCACCTGAGAAAATGTCAGGAAACTCCAGCTGGAGGAGCTAAAGGTTATTTCATGTTCATCAAATTTGAACTCAGGACAAATAAAGTCTGAAACTGAAACAGAAATGGTCTCGATAAACCATTAGTTTGAGAGCGTGCAGCTGGGTTAGCGAAACTTTTTTTTTTTGTTACCGTATCATTTTCTTTTTAGAATTTTATAAAAAATAATTTCACTGGGTTGTACAGAAAATCTACAACCCGAGTGTCAATGTGTGGGAAGAGTTGTGAGATGAGTCATTGTAACGTCACAAAAAATTATTATTGGGAAAAAGTATTTTTCCATTTGCTCCATGTAATTACATCTATTCTCCTTTCCAGCTTTTTCTAAGAAAAAAAAAAGCATCAAAGGATTTGTGTATATATTACAACGACCTCCGTTTCTTTCTGTCAACATCAGTGACCTCTCTGTGTTTTGGGGACGTATTAACCAACAGTCTCGCCACGGATAATGAACACTTTGAAATTAACCTCTGCGAGACGCATTAATCACGTGAAGTAATGTTATGAAAGGCCATAATGAATCACATCGCCGAATTAGCTCTTATTCTGTATGCAAATACTTGTGCTGGTGCTGGTCTAATTACACAGTTAATGCTCATTAATCTTTGAGAGTAATGGCTCTTCTCCTCCGGTGCGTCTCCAGCAATGTGTGACGGACTGTGCCAGAACGGAGGATCCTGCATTTCGCCTAACAACTGCGTTTGCCAGCAAGGATTTACGGGGGAGAGGTGTGAAACAGGTAGGATTTCATTTCGGCTTAGCTCCTGTGTTTCATTTCTTCTCCCTTAAAGAGAGGACAAAGATTTATGAATACCCAGGAAAAAAAAAAAAAAAAACCCACAGTGGAAACTGGGTTTCAGGTGATTAAGGCTGAGCCTGTATTTGTCTTGGCGTATCTGGGATCTTGTTTAGAATGACGTATCACTTTTTGCGCATGGAGCCGTCTGCTGTCAGAGCTCAGACGTAAACAGATGATCTGTAAATGCTGAGTAGCTGCTGGAGTTGTGACTCAAACGCAGATATTGTCCGCTTGAGTCGTCATTTGTGGCTGTGAGCGCTGACGACTTTGTGCATCTCTGTGCTCTCTGGCGAGTAATGGGTCTGCGCCTCGTCCAAAGGCCTCGTAGGGGATTTGTACGGCTTTGGAGCAGAATGGGAATTGTATCATGTCGCAGCCTCCATTAAGCAGCGTGGCATTCTCCCTGTAGCCTAAATACCATGTTTTCATTGCAACAAATCTTACTCCATGAACGTTCCTTTAAAAAAAACAACAAAAAAACAATCGAACCAGCTGAACTTTTTCACGTTTGATCACATTACAACCACAACTTTATTGTGTTTTACATGGCACACCAACAGAAAGTAATAAGTATTGTGAAGTGGAAGGAAAATGCTTAACGGTTTTCAAGATTTTTTTTTACAAATGACCTGATACGTGTGACATACACTTGCATTTAGCCCTCTATTTTTAACACCCCTAAATAAAAACAATCTATAGTCTTTAGAAGTAACGCAATTACCAAATTTTCCAACTTTATGTAATTTATTTTTAGGATACATTCCTAAAAATAAGGGAGTTTGATTAGTCTGCTTTAATCGAACTGTAGTTTGAAACTCCAGGTTGTTTGGAGAGATGTGAACGAGTAATCGAACTCTGATGTGGACCAAAAAGGAAACTATGGCTGGTCAGTTCAATCAAAGGGAACTCTGGTGCATATCTAATTTTCATGTGGACTAGAGACCCATTTAAAGTTTGAAAAACAAAATATATGCATATACTTGAAAACTTTGAAGCCTTTTGTCCACTTTACAGTTAGGTGCTCCTTTGTGCTAACTCGTTAATTGAATCAAATTCAAGTACACGGATGTTTGTAGCTTTAACTTAAACCTGGTTCATGAATACATTTCCAAGGCTTCATACGTTGCATCTCTCCTCCGGTAACCGTGGTGGTGTAAAATAAATACACAAACACTTTTTGTAAAATCCGTGTCAATCTTTAATGGAGTATCTTTCGGGGAGGCAAGTGGCCAAGCTAATGAAAAGTCACGGCTCTTCAGTCAGGGTCTATCTGCGTCCAAATACAGCAGACTGAGCTCTCCTCATTGGTCCAGCTATTGATTGAGTGCCCTTTTTTATGAGGCATCCTTTTTACTGCCCATCTTAAAGTAAATTAATTTCCTCGTAGAGCTGATCCGAGATGATGAGCCAGGAAAGAAAAAGGATGTGAAGTCTATCATCCTCCCCACGTTGGGTTGAGGAAAGTTCTACTAGCCTTATCCCTTATGAATAACGTACTACTTCTGATAATTGGATATGTTTCACCCTCTGTATGGGTTTACATCTCAGCCTGTTTCTCTTTCGGTCTGTTTCGGTCTGCACTGCTGCACTACGTTTCACTGAAAACAGAATTACAGCTGTCCAGCAACAAACCAGCTCAGTTACTGTTTTGGCTGTAGCTGTGTTTCTACATAAAGCATTAACTAGTAAGTTCAGTAGAAAAACCATCGGACTCAACGGTCAGTACATGAATGTGTGACAGCGGGGAGCTCAATTATCGAGACCTTTCTGTGAGTACAGAGTTGTCAACGGTTGGCGTTTGATTAAGGATGCTAGCTAAAGTAAATACCTTTTAGAAAATCACAGCAGCAAGGCAGTTCAAAGGGCTTTACATCATAAAAACACAAAAATACAAAGTCATGAAAGACAACATACAGATAAGGAAAAAACCTGTGATTACTGTACTGCTACCAGAAGATGCCTATATGAAGTGAAAAGACCCCAAAATGTTCGACTGTTAAAACAAAACAAAAAACATAGAGCAATAGCTGAAGTGGTTAGAATTTGCCAGAAAACACAACGACTGGCCCAAACAATAATGACTCAGCATTTTGTGAACTGGCGAAAGCAAAATTGCTCAATTGTATCTAATGTTCCGACAAGACTTCCCCAAATACACCAGTTAGCCAGCAGCAACCTGCTGAATGATGTGGAGCGGCCAGACCAACACCTGGACATTAAAAAAGTACAAGTTGTTAAAGTTTTTAAATTGAATGTGTCGTTTCTGGTGAGGAACAAAGCAAAGCAGAGGATTTGTGGAAAGTAGCTCAGTGGCTGAAATCAAATGAGTTTTCTATTTTCAATTTTTGGATTATTTTTGCTATCGTGTTAGTGTTTTAAAGGCAACGTTTCTCCAAACTTTTACGTCTAAGAAGGAGTTTGTCGCCCATCTGCTTTTCTACGAATAGCACTTGTGTATCATTTGACGACTGATGAAGTAGGTTTGATTCAAACTCTCTACGAAGAAAAATCGATCCAAGTCTTCAAATAGCAGGAGCAAGTTCCCATGTAAAAAATGGTGACATGTTAAATCATCTTGTTCCCACACTTAACTCCTTAATGTGCTCGTTTGTTAGGAGAAGGCTAACGCCTCCTCTATTTAAATTCTGCATCTTTTGGTTAAGAGTCCCAAGCAAGTATCTGGTAGTGAAGGTATTATTCACTTTAAATTGCAGCTGCACGATCGTTGCACACAACAGAACTCTCCCATGCATTTTCATGCCTGAAGCGACATGAAGTTTGCCGCCGCGGATGCTGGCGAGAGCATCTCTCCTGCTTCTCCGACAGTCACTCTCATACGTCTCTAGCACTGTGACAACCACTGTCCTGATGTTCCTTCGTTGTGCTTCTAAGCCCCAAGACCATCATCGGGTCCCCAGTGCTACAAGGCTAAGGCCTCTGGCACTGTTGGGGGACTCCATCAGTCATTCATTCTGGAAGAAAGGCTTCTCCGTACTGCTTCCTCAGCATGACAGGAACTCCCAGCGCAGGCCTGTTTCTGCTGCTAGGACGCATGGCGGCTCCAGTTCTAGTAGCAGGAGGCGAGAGCAGCAGTTTGGGAAGAAAAGATGGAGATGTAACGGAGAGACTGACAGATGCAAAATTCGAGGAAGGGTTAGGACAGAGAGGTAGCGATTCGGAAACGGGTAAAAGGAGGTGAAGCGGAATGGATGATACGGAGACGCTGGGTGCGGAGGGGAAAAGCTGACAGATGCGGATCTGGAATGGGATATGCGGAGAGAGGGAGGGAGGGACGGACGGGGTTATTGAGTTTTTCCCTGAATTTGGACGTGGAATGCGGTTGCCCGAAGAGGAGGGAGAGGAGAAGCAGAGCTCGCCGGATGAACATGGAAAAGCTTTCACTAGGTTTTCAGGCTCCCCGCCCGCAGGACCCTGTGAGCTTTTAGAGGCCTCCCCAGGGACTCCGCCGCCCCTGCTGCCACAGCATTAGAGTGACGGCCTGTCACAAGCTGCCGAACGATGACGACGAAGCATCCCCGCGCTCACACGTACCTGCGGTCCTCACGCACATCATCAACCTGCCGCCTGATTTCCGATCGTCACACGTCCGTGTGTAATTGGGCGCACGCTCTTAGCGTAATTGAGCATGTCTATTTCTCTGCCGCTGAGAGGGACGGCGCTGTTCAGCTTGGGTCTGCTCGTGTCTTCTGGTGACAATGTGTGTGTGCGTGTGCGTGTGTGTGCACTTTCCAACCTTGTCATTGCCATTCAGTGGGAATACGGGAAGGGAGGACAGGGGACACGCAGTGCTGACAGACAGTCAGCAGCTAGTGAAGAACTCTGACTCGCCATGAATTATGCAGGAGACAGCTGCGGCTGGGCACATCCACTTCAGTCACAGATAAAAATGGACGAAGGGCCAGCCATGTAATGTTTGCCCCCCAACATGTCGCGTAGCCGCCATGGTAGCCCCAGGCTAGCTCTTTGTCCCACATTTCCTCACAGTGCGATGGATAAATGTGGAAGTATTGGGCTCATTTTGCTGCAAAGTGGTTCTCATTTTGGAAGAAAGATGCGACCGCATCCACCAGCAGATTTCACAGTTGGACTCTGTGAGGCCTGCATTGTTTGGCTGATGCTTTTCTCCCACAGCGCTTTGGTGCAAGAATGCTATCGGGGGAGCAATTTTATTTGTTTTTTTTCCCCTATTTGGTGTTTTTCCTCACTGAATTTGAATGTATGTAATAAAATCAATTTAGGTTTATTTTCAAATGATACGTCCAGGTTTGCCGCCTCCGTGCTCTTTGATGTTGTTTTTCTTTCCATTTGCTCTCAGCAATTTTGTCTCCCGTAACATCAGTTGGACACCAAGCAAATCAGACAGAAGCAATTCGGCCTTGACCGCTTATGGAGCCATTTTGGATTAGTCGGATTCACAGACCTTCCTCTGAAAAGCTTTTAGTTTAAATGTGTGGCTCATGGGCGATGAAGAAGAGTAGCTACCCTTCTTCTCATCTTTGCTGCGTATATCATGAAAATGTGAATAAACACCGACTCCATGCTGAAGTAAAAGTTTGGTCTCGATTCACCAGAGAACCATTTGATTTGAGTTTAAATGATTTTTCGAGGCGTTATAAATTTAAAATATCTCATAAATAAGATGCTTTTAGGTATGATGGAGGAGTAGGGCCACATTAAGACAATTTAAAAAAAACTTTATTTCCACATTTTATGGACTTTATTCTTGCACTTTTATTTTTTAATTTTTTCTTAGTTTGTCCGTCGTATAGATCAGAGCCAGGGACCGAACTTTTTCATCTTGTATGCTAAACATTAACGTTAGAAAACTGGACTCTAACATCTGTGAACGCCTGCTGCTTCCTCAAGTCTCAGTGTGTTTACTGGACTTGTTCTGTTAGATAAACACGGCTCGAGATATT